AACCCTACTGCTCGGGATAATGGTTGGAGTAGCCAATTTACAAACCGCTGTAAAGTAGGCAGTTGGTTGGAGCAGCAAAGTCATGTATTAACTCCAGCCAAGTTTATAACAGCTTTAAAAATTGGCTACTGCAACCAACAGAAATGCTATGCCATATTTGACTATTTAAATTGGCTGACGCAGCCAGTTCTAGGCTACAGCAGCCAATTCTTTTTTTGAGTGTACTAGTCCTTTTCAAGTATATGCGTTACACCCACCAATTGTTACAGCAAAAGATAGAACATGTCGTAGTACACAGAAAATAAATAATAATAATAAAATATGTCCATCGAAATAAAAAAAATTGATTACCTCACTCCGCAAATCGACAGACAAACGTCTAGTCATACAACAGCCCAGAGGAAAACATTTAATTTTATTAAAATAAGAGATTTGCCAGCCTATGTCGTTTGAATTTCTTTTATCACTGGCGACTTACCATTTCCAAAATTTATGATATATATATATATATTTATATATATATTTGGATATTCACTAAAAGAAATAAATTTTGGGGGAAAATGAAAACAACCCCCTTGCTCTGTCCCTAAGCGGGAGATGCGTCTCGCCGGGCGTCGACAATCCCGAACGTGAAATAATAATTGGCGCTCGCTACGCGTCGACGAAGGTATCTTCCGATTTTCATTTGCAATTCGATGCGACGCGACGCGACGGGATTTCGACCGGTCAATTTTCCTCGATTGCGAGGCGTCGCGTATGTCGCGGTGCCACGAGTTCCCCTTAGCATAACAATGCCGGGCAATCGTTCTATTGGATGCGTGTGCCCTTGGTATGCGCTAATAACGCAACAGCGCCGGTGACATTCCGCGCCATCGTTGCCGTGGTACTTTTGCTTGGGGAACGGGCGAGCTATCCAATTACGATACGACGACGCGAGCGCGAGTCTAGACATCATCGTCATTTCGTAGAAACGGTGGTATTGCATGGTATCGCGCGGGAACGTGGCGAGTGGCAATCGTTTTCCGCGCGCGTTATCGATGCGAAACAATAGCCACCAGTTCGCTTTTGACGGGATCAACGTGCCTGACAGTTGCAAAAAGAAAAAAGGGGGGGATAGAGAGAAAAATCATCCTTCCGTGATTTGTGACGACGCCCGGGGGATAAAACGAGCCGCCGGCGCTCGTAGGAATAATAAAAGGCGAATGAGAAAGAGAAGGAGCGAGGGAGCGGGGCAAGGGTTAGGCATTGCGGGCCCGGGCGGTTATTACCTGTCGTTAATGTCAGCCGTCAAATAATCCAATATCATTTTTACGAATATTTTCAAGGCTGAAACGTCTCTCGCGCGGACACTTTACTGATTTCGCGTTAGTTAAGGCACACCAGGCAACAACTTCTTGCCGATGTCTATGACGTCGTAAACGTCGCCGTTACTCACGCGGTTCCACGTTATTTTCCGTGCCGGCGGCCTAATAAGAAGGCGTTTAACTATGCAGTGTCGGCCGCGCGAAGCAACGCCACGCGAATTGATCTCAATTCCGATCGCGATCGTATCGATTCACACGTCATCGCGCCCGTCGCCCCCCCCCCCCCTCGCTCTCTGAAAAGTAACGGACGTTTCTTTAATTACTTACTCGCGCTCGGTTTCGTTTCTTCGATCGCGGGATGACTGACGTCGAGAAGCGAATACCGTAATTACAAAACAATTAAGCTTCACTGCGCGACGGTTCTCCGCGGAGAAGAGCTTCGCTCGACAATAGAGAGCCGCGCGCTCAGACGCGATCGCTCCGTGTAATTGTTTAGAAATTTAAAAAGCGAACGGGGTCTCGAGGAGCAAGCCAAAGGTTAACAGATGCGTCGCCTCCGTGCGGCTCAATCGATACCCGGTGAAAGAAACGCGGGGAGCATGTCGTGGCTATCAATCGGGCATTCCTTATCGGAAATCAACCGCTGGAACGGTGGATCGATCGGCGACTCGCGGATAATCGCGGAAAGGAGAGACGGCGTCCATTTTCGGTGGGCGATGTGGCGCGCGGCGCGATTACGCGAGACGCATTCCGTCGGCTTGGAAAACTCGAGACGAGACTCCGCGCCGGCGCGAGAGGGGAATCGCCTATCACGGCGAATCAAGCCGTCGCCGTCGCCGACGGGCCGGTTTTCCGCAAGATTGGATTCGAGGGCAGGGAAAGACGGAAGACGGCGTGTTTACCGTCGCTACGGAGAAGGATCAAAGCGGCGCGGCGACAAACGGAGCGAATACGGCGAATCGCGCGAGCAATAACGGCCGCGCTCCGCTCGAGAAACAATACGTGTACGTTTACGACAATCGTGCGTGCGTGCGTGCACGCGGGTAAGAGCAACAAAGGTGCTCGCGCTCGAAGGAGAGTGCTTTGACGCGAGCTGAAATCGAGGGGCCGAGGCGAGGCGAGCCGAGACGAGCCGAGCCGAATTGGCGGTTCTACCGCGGCTCCTCTCCCCGGAGCACGCGGGGAGACGTCGTCGCGACGTTTCGCTCGCTCGCGACGCGACGCGACGGCGCGACGCGGCGGCGAACGAGGTTAGCCGAGCGACCGCGAGGTCAGTGACTAAAGAGAGAAATATCGTGGGACGCGATATAACCGTCGCCACGCTGCTTTCTTGCCTATCGACGCGCCGCGCCGCGCCGGCAGTCTTCTGCCGGAGCAAACGACGTTTGCCTCGCCGAGATTCGCAGAAGCGTCCCCTCGCCGCCGCCGCCCCCCTCACCACGCCCTCCTCCCGGTTCGTCGAAAAAAATCGTCACCGCCGATTTCGTGCGTGGAACCCGGTCCTGCCCGCCCCTCTCGCGAGCGTGCGAGCGATTTTCACGGCGGTCTTGGAGGCCATTGATACCCCCGTGTCGCCGTAGCGCCGCGCCGCGCCACGCCGGTGAAAGCATGCGTGTTTCGCGGAAAAGGACTCCTTGGAGAGCCCCGCGTCGTCGCCCCCCCCCCTCCCCGAGACACGAGGAACAACGCCCAGAGGCGACGCGAGAGGAGCGCCTGAAAAAATCTCGCGCGCACTTTTTCCCTCGCCTCCTTGCCCCCCCACCCGCCCGCCCGCCCCGCGGCGGCCGAGATCGCGTTCCTTCTCCGTTGCGAACGAGGGGAGGAACGCGACTCGCAGCCGCTCCGGTGGAGAAGTAAGCGGATAGGTCCGACGGCGAAAGCCGAAAGCGGCTCCGCGATCGGACGCCTCTCGTTTCGTTTCGGGCGACAACAGCCCGAGTATGCCGCGTAACGACGGAGAAGCGTGACAAGGGAGAGACATACGCTCACCGAAACGCGGCGTCCAGTCGCGGTGTCATCACTCGGCGTCCTTGGTCGGGCACGATCGAAGATCGCTCCCTCGTCGGGGACCCCAGGTCGGCTGGCAAACACCGTGGCGATCACTTTCCCCCGTGGACACCAACACCACTGACACTTGCGCGCGTAACACGCATAACACGCGAGGGCCGCGATCCGTTTGTTTATCCGTTGGCGTCGGCCGTGCCGTGCCGTGCCGTGCCGTACCGCGCCGTGCCGTGCCGTTCGTTCTCTCGACGGAACGCCGAGACCCTCGGCGACGCGGTCTGCCGAGCCGCGTCGTGAAGCACGCGATGGAACGGGACGGAACGATCGCGAGTCGCGAGCCGCGAGCCGCGAACTGCGAGCCGCGAGTCGCGTCGTTAAACGAATATTCGCGCTTGGGTCGCTCGGTCGGTCGGTCGCTCGCTCGCTCGTTCGCTCGGGGCGAAAGAATCCCCCGCGCGACTCGCACACAACTTGTTTACTAGAACGCGCACCGCGCCATGCCCCGTGAACGCGCGCCCGCCGCCGCCCGCCCCTCGCCCACCGAGCAAAATAAGCGTCTGCGCAGTGGCCGGCCTGTGCTACGCTCTCCCCTTCTTCTCGCCGAGCGCGCTTTCTACGCGCGATAAAGGGAATATCTGCCTTGACGTACTACGACGCAACCGCGACGAGCCAGCGCGTAACACGCCAACAGGCGCGGGTTCATCGTACTCCCGCGCCACCGTCCAAACGATCGCGCGGTGCCCGTTTACCGCGCACCGTAAACGTCGTGACATCTGAATTTCAGCGGCAGAGTGATTACCTGCGCGGACGATAACCCGGCGCGGATGATAAAACCCGCCCGAATAACGATTAACCGACCGGTCACGCCTCCCATGGAGATTGACCTGAGAGCCACCACGGTCGTATGCCCGCGCTCTGTCGGTCCTTTCATCTTTTCCATTTCGATCACGTGTACTATTCCGCCATGTTTTTTTTTGGTAGAAAATCCTATCGCACACTCATTTCACACTACCGTCTTATAGATAGTACATGGAACCACTATTGCCGGTATTCATAGTCGATTGTTATTTGAAAATCATCTTAAGTGTTGTCTTAAGACGCTAACACGGCTCTGTGATTGGTTGAAAACACATTAAGAGTATACTTAAGATGATTTTAAATATAAAAACGGACTATGAATACCGGCCTATATTTTGTAACAATACAAAAATGTATACGATTATTATAGACGAATTATGTAAAATCCAGACTATTGTATTAAATATACTTTATATTTAATATTTTTGAAAATGGGTATTTATTAAAATAATTATATAGAATACTGAAAGCCTTCCTTTTAAATATGAACTCACAAAATTTTATACGTATGGTTTTGTCTCTAACACTTATTCGAATGCTCGTTGGAATCGTTTGAATAAATAAAATGAAAGCACAGAACAGATGATTCATTTTGCACAAGTAGCAAATAACAAAAATGTAAGACCTTACGATTTCTCTGCCGTTGCCCGATGCCGCCTAGGCCTGCTCCTCCTCTCAGATTTTCTTGTTGCACTCACAGCACTCACTCGCGAAAATCAATCGCGCGAAATTTCGGACACTCCCGTACGCGATGTAAAATACCGTGAAATGCAGTAAGCGACGTTCTTTACTTGCTGCCCGTTCGAGTTGCGAAGAACGACAGAGCGAATTACAGCGCGAACGCTGAAGTCGCACAAATGTCTCTCTCTTCCCGAAAATGGAACAGATTACACGAAATCGATAGATAGTTAAAGGCGCGATGCGTAAACGAGATGTAACCGCGACAACGTACCACGGTTTACTTTCGTATTTTCCATGAGTTAGTCTCGTAAAATATCCATGTATGTACACGTTAATAAAGAGCCGTAGCCTCAACGCGCAATTCGTTTCTTATTACAAGTTGTAGAAACTTAATAATTAATTTAGTAGCGTTACTTGTCACTGATAAAGGAGTCCAAATCAATAGCGTTTTATCCTTACATTCTTCACGATCGAGTCTTAGAAACCGACAACGCAAAAACAATATCACGCACGGAGCGACTCGCGCCACTGCTTGGCGGCTCGACGTTCGGCGAGTGACTGTGCGGCGACCTTAGTGTAAACAATGCTCCGCGCGACGTCGTACGATACCACGCCGAGTGAAAAACAACAAAAAAACGTTCGTTTTTGTGTTGAGAATTCGTTGGCCCATCTACGTAAATGAAAATTCCGTACTTATCACTCGCCCGCCGAACGTCGAGCCGGCAGGCAGCAGCGAGAGTTGTTCCGTGCGTGATATTATTTTTACGTTACCGGTTTCCAAGACTCGATCGCGAAGAATGTAGGGATAAAACGCTGTTGATTTGTACACCTTTATCAGTGACAAGTAACGTTACTCGATTAATTATTAAGATTCTAAAACTTGTAATGAGAAACGAA